TCGTGTAGGGCTTCCCTGGTGGAGCAGTGGTTGAGAATCTGCCTGCCGATGCAGGGGACACGGGTTCGAGCCCTGGTCTGGGAAGATCCCACATGCCGCGGAGCGACTAGGGCCGTGAGCCACAATTACTGAGCCTGCGCATCTGGAGCCTGTGCTCCGCAACGAGAGGCCGTGATAGTGAGAGGCCTGCGCACTGCGATGAAGAGTGGCCCCTGCTTGCCACAACTAAAGAAAGCCCTCGCACAGAAACGAAGACTCAACACAGCCATGAATACATAAATAAATAAAATTTTTTTAAAAAATCGTGTAAGTAGTTCCCTTTATGGCTTTCCGAAATGGGCTTTACCCTGATTGTCAACTGGTAGCTAGTTCTACGTGTTTCCAATCAGATTCATGGTTTTATCATTGCGTGGATGCCATCTTGGCCTTCCCTTCTGACCACCTAACATGCTGATCCCAATATATTATTTTCATATTTTATGAACAAGTCAGAGGCATCTTAAATTTTGGTAGATTCTCTTTTGTCGTCATCTTTCTTCTAATACTTAGTCCCATGCTTGTCATACAATGTATGTTACTGAATTTAACCAAACTAGGATTACTTGCTTAGAGATTTCTGGGAGAGATTTCTGGGCTTCAGGACTGAGAAGACATTGGCTTTCTTAACTCTGGTTATGGTGATTGAAGGTTGGAACAAATAGTAAAGGGAATGAACAGCTGCATTTGATTGGATTCTGATGACTTTGCCTCCACACACACTCAGGCTCTGTACAGATTGAGATTTCTCTGCCATTTATTTGCCGAATTTCTTTGAGTGAGATACTTGAGGTTTCTGTACCTAAGCTGAACCATATGCTAACATCCCTCCCTCACAGGGATACAGTGAGGCTGGAATAAGATAATTCATTTAAAGCATTTGAACAGTGCCAGTCTACTGAACACCCTCCGAAGGAAGTTGTTTTCACAATTATTTTTATCTATTTAAGAAGGAACCTTAGTTTGCTCCAGTATGCCTACCTTCTACTATTGGAGTTAATATTGATTAATATCACCATTGGTGCATTTTCTCCACCTGGGTTGGCCAAAATTTTGTTCGGGTTTTTCCATAAGCCTAACCAACTTTTTGGCCAACTCGATAGAATGTTTTAATTCTGCAAAGAAGAACATCAGTGAATGTGTTCAAGATGCCTTTTTCTCCCCCCTAGGAATCTATAGAGAGATTGCACCTTTGACATCATTAAAACCAGTGCTATGGCATCATTCCCCAGGCTTTCACATCATCCTGACTGATTAAAGCTAAAAGCTAAGGACTTCCTCCTTCTGATAACTCTCAGAGCTGCATAACTGTGGATACACTTGAACAAATCTTAAATCATGTGTGCTCATTTTCCATAAGCAAATTTAGCTGCTCCAGAGGGTGAGTCAATATATCCATCATATGCTCCCAACCCTATATCATATTTGTTTATTGGATATATTTCTCCTATTCAGGTTTTAACTGCTCTATTATATGCCTCCTCCCCCTGGCCCTTAATACATAGACCAGCTTCTTTACTAGTACTCTATGAGACCTAACACCAAGTCCTAGGTGATTCCTTTCTCTTCTCTTTCCTTCCTCACAATTAGTCCAAATGCCGATAGATAGGTTTGAGCAAGGTAGGCCTCTGTGCCGGGGGTTTGAAGTAACTTTTGTGACCCCAAGTTGGGGGTTGAAGCTCCACTGGTATTACGATAGTGTTCACACAAGGGTATAGGTGAAGGGGCTTGGTTCAGGGTTTTAAAACTCAAGCCACTTCCTAGTTGAGTGAAAAGGACATTTGCTTGGAGGAGCAACATAACCTTGGGTTTCAGAGCACTGGTGGGATGTGAAGAGGTTATCCACATGGGGAGGGATGGTCACAGCATGGGGGGGCAGTGTTGGGGCCTGAGTGAGGGGAGTATAGTTTATACATGGTGGGGATGGGGGGTGATAGTAGATTGTTTCATACAGAGATTTTGATCTGAAAATTTCATTTATTTTTTTGGGGGGGTTTGTTAAAACTATCTTTATTGCCTAAAATGTTTTTGTCTTTTTTTGAAATAAAAATATGTTTTCACAAATATTACACGACCACATCCTTATTGTAAAACATGCAAACAATGAAGAAATATACAGAACAAGATATAAAAATCACTTTTTTTATGGAAGTATAGTTGATTTACAGTGTTGTGTTAGTTTCTGGTGTACAGCAAAGTGATTCAGTTATACATGTATGTACATATTCTTTTTCATATTCTCTCCCCTCATGAATTATTAGAAGACATTTAATCTAGTTCCCTATGCTCTACAGTAGGACCTTGTTGTTTATCTATATTATATATAGTAGTTTGAATCTGCTAATCCCAAACTCCTAATTTATCCCTCCTCCAAACCCCCTTTCCCCTCTGGTACCCATGAGTTTCTTTTTTTTTATAGGTCATTTTTTCCTTTATTATAATCCATTCAAGACAGCCCACACATTTTTAGTTAATAATACCAGAATCACAAGACAGGAGGTAACATTGTTTATATAGCAACTGGGCTGGGAATAAGCTAACACAACACTGAAAATCAACTATACTTCAATTAAAAAAAGTTTTTAATTAAAAAAATAAAAGGAATGACAAAATGCAATGCAAACTTCAAGGTGAGCTTTGGAATTACATGATGTAATTGATGTGCCAAGCTTGTTAGTATTCCCAGCCCACTTGCTACGTGAGTTTGTTTTCTGTGTCTGTGAGTCCATTTCTGTTTTGTAAAGGAGTTCATTTGTGTCATGTTTTAGCTTCCACATGTAAGTGATAAGATATGGTAAAAAATTACTCTTTACCTTCAAATTCCTCTGTTTTTCTCCCCTAGATAAAACTCTCTCAACAGTTTGGTGTGAATTCTACAAAGGCATCTATCTATCTATTTATCTACACACATTCAAACATTCTGAAAAGCTCATTTATTAAAGATAATGGAAGTCAGACTTCTCACTATTAGAGAAGGGAATTAAAAATATAGAAAAAAATATAGAAAAAACCCTGAAATGAACCATATAGGTTTGAATTCAAATTGGAGATGTGAATTTGAACTCATGGTTTTCAAGTTATAGAAACAGATATAGAAATCATGTAAATCTAAGCATGCACATACCTTGCTCCTTCATCTGCTGCATATTTCTCTTCTTATTTTGTTTAACTTACTCTGTTTGGGGTCTCCTTTTCGCAGGCTGCAGGTTCGTAGTTCCTGTTGTTTTTGGTGTCTGCCCCCAGTGGGTGAGGTTGGTTCAGTGGGCTGTGTATGCTTCCTGGTGGAGGCGACTGGAGTCTGTGTTCTGGTGGGTGGGGCTGGATCTTGTCTTTCTGGTGGGCAGGGCCGCGTCTGGTGGCGTGTTTTGGGGTGTCTGTGAATTTAGTATGATTTTAGGCAGCCTCTCTGCTAATGGATGGGGCTGTGTTCCTATCTTGCTAGCTGTTTGGCATGGGGCAACCAGCGCTGGAGTCTGCTGGCCGTTGGGCGGAGCTGGGTCTTAGCGTTGAGATGGAGATCTCTGGGAGAACTCTCACCGATTGATATTACGTGGAGCTGGGAGGACTCTGGTGGTCCAATGTCCTGAACTCTCCTCTTCCACCCCAGAGGCTCAGGCCTGACACCCAGCCGGAGCACCAAGACCCCGTCAGCCACACGGCATAAGAAGTTCTTCATAAGATCCCCAAGATGATTTCCCCTAGTCCTGTGATAACTTCATAGCCACCTCCTGTTGCTACTGCGTGGAGCTCGAGTGTTGAGCATTGGCTTCAAACGCCAGAGACGCCAATCATCCCCACCTGAGCAGGTGTCTCCCTAAGCATTCGTATAAACATACGTCTGTTTTTGTAGTTTTATCCACAGACAGGCCATGGGAATAGTGACCCTCCATAACAATGATCACATCTAGCACACACATCTCAGTTCCTAAATACCATGTTCTACTTAAACCAGAGTTCCATGGAGTAACAGCCAACACCAGGGCTGGGGCAGGAGAAGTACAAGTTAAACCGGGAACGACTTTTGGTGCCAACAATTGCGAAAGTGCTCAAAGAATGCTGCAGAAATGTCAAAATTATATAGGAACTATTTCAAGGGGCTCCTCCTGGTCAAATCTGAAATAATTTGAGCGTAAATATAAATAGTGATAGTAATGAGTTATAATCTACATAATAAAATAGGAAATCACAAGTGTATACTAATATAAGCAAGTAAGTTGCAAGATTAATGAGGAGGATATTTACAGTTTCAGAGTATCTCGCCATAAATCAAGGGCTTCCCTGGTGGCGCAGTGGTTGAGAGTCTGCCTGCCGATGCAGGGGACACGGGATCGTGCCCCGGTCCAGGAAGATCCCACATGCCGCGGAGCGGCTGGGCCCGTGAGCCATGGCCACTGAGCCTGCGCGTCCGGAACCTGTGCTCCGCAACGGGAGAGGCCACAACAGTGAGAGGCCCGCGAACAAAAAAAAAAAAATACGGTTTTTCTTTAGGTCTGTCTCAGGAATTAAAGCCACTTTATCATCTCTGCTGCTGATTCTTCCACAGCCAAACCCGTAGAAATTAAGAAATAATAGTCTTTTGATTTCAAATATGTACGACTTAGGTTATTCAGCATATTAGATGACACCTGAAAATTACCTAGTGAAAAGAGTTTTCTATGCTTTAGCTTTTTTGGAAGTGTGTGCCTTGCCAGCTTCTCAGATGATTTTAACAGGCCTCAGGCACACAGAGTTATCAATTAGCACTCTTCACCTGATGGGCCTCTTTGAGCATCAGGGTTGGGGTAATCAGGAGAGTCTCAGGTTTTAGTTGGTTGACACTGTGGAAACCACCCCGTGGGTGATCTAACTAAGTAGCAAAATGAAGGCAGCTGAGCATGGGATGCCATATAAAATCACGTAAGCTGTTACCACTTCCTATGTCCCAAGAAGTCCTGGGCTGGGGGTCTGCTCACATGGAGGTCTCTATGGCTTCAGAAATCTTGATTCTCCTTGCTGCCTTGATTTGGCCTTGCGCTGAGAACATCAACGGTAAATGAATTAGAGAATGCTTCCTTGCAGGGTTACTCAGAATGACTGCTTTCCATCTTTCCAAGCAGGTGCTCTACTCCCTGTAGAGATCTGATCTTACCATTTGCTAGAAAAGAAGTACTTTCAGGCCAACTGGACTTGAGTCTTTATACTGAGGACACATTTTAACTTTCTGCCTAAATGTCTGAGATGTTTCTTTCTTCTATGTTATGATCTTCTATCTGAAACCTCATTTGCAGAGATTCTTCAGAAATAGTCCTCGGCTCTACGTTTTAGGCTCTGCCCTTTTGAACTCACTGCCAATTACCAGTACTTGGTGGTATTGCAAGATATTTGATTGTATCTTTACTGATGTTCCTGCTTCCAGACCCTTCTTATTTCCCCTTGATGATGATACTGCTCTTTTGTTCTTTTTAAAATTCTATCTGGCCTTCCCTCATGTTAAATTCATCAGCAGTTCTGCAAAGCCAATAGGATGAAGCTAAATCAGTGTCTGGTCTGTCTATAAATTGATTCAATATCCTTTCTATTATACCTGGTGTAGTCTCCATTTTTTTTGTGTTATCCAGATGCTTCCCAGCTTCAAGGCCAGACTAAATTTCAACTACTCTAAAGCAGCATTTCAATATTACTTTTTGTGTTCTCTAAGTTTTTTTGAAAGTCACTGGATGTTCCTGTTTCCTTCTGCTTGAAGTGGGGTCTTTTTTGGGGAAATGATATGTGAATTTCTTACCCATTTGGCCTATAAGCCCTTTCTGAACAAGGACCACATTTAGTTTCTGATCTTTCCATTTTACCTAAGATGAATCTTTCAGAATGCCTAGGTTACTGCAGCTCACCCTGTGGCAGTTAACTATTGGCATTTCAGTAATTTCAATCATTTAATTCCATACATGTGGAGAAAGAGCAGTGACCTGTGAGTCAGAGAAGAATTCCAGTTATCTGGGAGGGGTGAGTAGGGTGTTCAGGCCTGGCTATGGTACATGATGCTTGGGTGCAAGGAAGGTTCTACCTCAGTTAGTGTATGTACAGCTATGCATGTTCCTCAGGCTTTTTCTCAAACAATTTCTCAGCTACTTGAGACACAAGCTCAGAATGTCAAACTGAAACTTGACCCTAAAACTAGTATGAACAAAAAGTAGTGAAGCCAGAAGCATGGACTTCCTGTATGTCCATATCCACTTACCCTTTTGAATCTATCTTAATCCAGTTGTTGGAACCTTTATTCATTTAGGAAGGATTTCCCTGGTAATCTTATCTAGCTGATGTTAGAACAATATTTTGAACACGTGGAGAGAGGTGATTTGGAGGTTACAATCACTGATGTAGAACACCTGCCTTCTCCAAAGCCTACTTTTTTCTTAAACATCTCCCTATATTTTCTTACTTTCTTGATGATTTATCCTTAAAAACCAAGAACTTCCAGGCTCAAATGTGCTGGAGGTATCTCGCTCATTAATCATAGAACTACTTCTTCATGCTGGGAAGATTCAGATTTTCCAAAGTGTTTAAGAGAATCCTGGATGTTCTCCAAGGCCTACTAGGTCTCTATGACTGGTTTGGGAACTTTCCTCGTCAAGATTTGAATGACTAGCTATTTTCGTTGTGTGATCTTACTTTACTACTTTGCAACGGATATGTAAATGAGCACTGTCACACAGAAAAGAAGATAGTAAATGACAATCTGACACATGACTAGCTGACTTACAGTCATGTTAGGTTTATTTGTGAGAAGTTTGAGATACTAAAATATTGATGGCAGATGGTCATTTTTTAAAAGTTTTGTTTTTTTATAATTTTAAAAGGTTATACTCCATTTATAGTTATTACAAAATGTTGGCTATATTCCCCATATTGTACAATACATCCTTGTAGCCTATCTTACACCCAATAGTTTGTACCTTCCACTTGCTCCCCCCTATATGCCCCCCTCCCCACCAGTAATCACTAACTTGTTCTCTATATCTGTGGGTCTGTTTCTTTTTTGTTATACTCACTAGTTCACTGTATTTTTTAGCTTCCACATAAGTGATATCATGCAGTATTTGTCTTTCTCTGTCTGACATATCTCACTTAGCATAGTGCCCTCCAAGTCCATCCATGTTGCTGCAAATGGCAAGATTTCATTCTTTTTTCTGGCTGAGTGCTGTTCTACTGTGTGTGTACCACATCTTCTATATCCACATCTTCTATATCCACATCTTCTATATCCACATCTTCATCTGCTGATGGATGCTTAGGTTGCTTCCTTATTTTGGCAGTTGTAAATAATGCTACCGTGAACATTGAGGTGCATGTAGCTTTTCATGTTCGTGTCTTTGTTTCTTTCAGCTACATATATCAGATGGTCATTTTTAAAGACACTTGTTTATTTCTTCCAATGACCGCCTGTTGTCAATTCCTAACCTAAGATTCATCTATAGGGAAAGAATTTAATGAGTTCTTGCTGTGGAAAAATTATCTGATTCTTGGCATTTCTATAGTTACCACAGAGGAAGCGTTTACTAAGTAAATCTGTGAAGAGTATACGGTCAAAGTCAACTATGATTATGGTTTGTATCTTAGAGCACATGTACCAATAATTGATTTTTAGATGAGATATAAACTTCAATTATAATGTTTGGCACATAACGTACTATCAAGACTGGCATCAGTGACAAGTTATCTAAATTGCATTAGGAAGAAAATCTTGTCTCCTAATAATTTTTCTGACCACATACTCATTCACCAGATATCCTCTAAATGCAGCTGTTAAGTAAGGCTTTAGACTTGGAACCCCTTACCAATTTACTCCTCACCTGCTATTCTTCCTGTAGGAGATAATAGCTAGTTATCATCGTACCTGAGTCAAACTCCTATTGCTGCTTTGCTGTTTCATTTTTTCCTTCTGCCTTTAAAGACATGCTGGTGGGGGATTGGAGGCATTGATCAGACTTCGGCAGTGACTGAATTACTTATTTGTGGAACAAGAGGATACTACCTTTGTTTACTTTCTGGGTTTTGTTAGGTTCCACAGAGAATTGACGTGCAAATGCTTTGGTTGTGGCTATATTCAGAACATATGTAGTAACTAAGGAGACCAATGAGAGTCTAGGAAATTTGTCTTAAATGTCACCCCAACCCATTGTAGCTTAAGTTTCAGTTACCCGGGAGAATTGCCCCCTGGAGTGAACTTAACCATTTCAGCCCGGTTTACATCTTGGTCTGAGGCTCCAAGTACAATCAGTCTAATTGGCAGAACTTATATTCAAGCTGACTGTAAATTTTTGCTTCTGGCGGCCTTCACTGACTCATGAATATACTGTATTGCAGTCTACCAGTTTCTTTTAAGCTAATAAAGGTGTGTCTGCAGAGTTCAAACCCCGTCCGGCCAGCAGCAAGAACTGTGTCTTCCTAAAGGTGAGATTACCAGCCAGGCTGTCACTCTCCTAACCTTCCTTTCTTAAAGCAGAAATTCTGCAATTTCTGTTCATCTAGAAGTCCTGCGTGCAGGTACTACTATCAGCAAGGGCTGTGATTCAAATATATATATGTATCTGTGTTCTGTTTCACTGGGAATATAAAGAAAATTAAGAAATAAAACCCATGTTCAAAGTATTTATTCTAGCTTTGATGATAGGTTGTATTACAGTTGCTTATATTAACGTCAAAATAAGATAAGCTTTAAACCCTGTTACTCTAGCTTTTGTAAAACACGAGGAGGCTGTATCAGATGAGGTCAAGAATCACGTTTTGGGTTATGATTCTAATACCTTAATAAATATAGGATATATACTGGATATCTAAGAATAGTCTGTTTGCTTGGAAAAAAAAGCTTTTTAAAAGTGTTTATTTCTCACTTGTGTCAATAGATATATAAGGTGTATATTGTGACTTGCTTCTTTCTCATAATTGTTTTTAGATTTATGTTTATAGGTATAACTATAATTTATTTTCCATGTTGTATGGAATTTGATTATATAAATGCATTACAATTTATTTCGTCATTCTTCTGTTGGTGATTTGGCCTGGAGTATTTTGTTCATTTTTTTTAACAATATGTTTCATTTACATTTGAACATTTGTTCATTTACATTATCATTGCTAGTATACTTGTAATTTATTTATTTAAATTTTATTTATTTTTGGCTGCGTTGGGTCTTCATTGCTGTGCACGGGCCCTCTCTAGCTGCGGTGAGTGGGGGCTACTTTTCGCTGTGGTGCACGGGCTTCTCATTGCTGGGGCTTCTCTTGCTGCGGAGCACGGGCTCTAGGCACGCGGGCTTCAGTAGTTGTGGCTTGCTGGCTCTAGAGCGCAGGCTCAGTAGTTGTGGCACACGGGCTTAGTTGCTCCGCCGCATGTAGGATCCTCCCAGACCAGGGCTCGAACCCATGTCCCCTGCATTGGCAGGCAGATTCTTAAAGACTGCGCCACCAGGGGAGTCCTACACTTTGTAATTTATTGCAACCATCTTACTGCTTTTGTCTTTTTTGGTTTGTTTTTTGTCTTTTTACCTTCTCCTTTTTTGCCTCCTTCTATGTTGTTTGAAATTTGCTTATTTTTGTCCTTCATTCTATTTTGTTCTCCTCCAATTTGGAAGTTTTACCATCTAGTTTATTAGGTTCCACACCACCCCCCCACCGACTACTTATCATGCATCTTTAAATACTAAAGCTAATAAATCTTGACTTTCCTTCCGAACAATAGAAGGACCTACGAAATTTAACTCTGGTCATCCCCTGAGAACCTCTGGTTAATGACTGTCTAGCACACTAAGTCAGAATCCAGTACACTTCATTTCCAAAGGGAAAATGACTCAATTAGAAATAGTGACTATTATGACTTACTGAAGACGCTCCACGTAAAGGATAGGATGGGTTTTACGTTAAAATTTTCATAAAACTTCCATCCCAGACAATAGATTTTCTCTCTTCAGACTATTCCCTCTTGTGGCTATGATTGTTTCTGGTTCTGGTTGCTCTAGATATGAATTCTACCATACCAACTTTCCTCCTTTTCCCTCTTTGAAAAGTATTACAGAGAATACATCACTCTTCTAATGTACTGTAGTTTAATTCTGTCCCTTCTGTGTGGTCCTAACTACATCATGCTCTTTAAGAGGAGGCAGGGGGCTAAAAGATAATGATGCTCTTGTGTATTGAATTTTTCCCCTGTGAAAGAACTGAAATTTACTTATTTGAGGCTATAATTATGCAGCTGTTTTGGAAAGTAGTGGTAATATGAAAACCCCCTATATGCTGTTCTTTAAGCTGTGATAACCTTTGCCAGAGGAAGGAATATCTTTTATCACAAACGGCGTAGCTGGATGTTCTTTGAGCTCCCCCTTAAGATAAATACACATCTGACCTTTTCTCATATGATTCTTTCTGCAGTGAAAATAAGTTGTTCTATGGACTGGTTGATGGTCTCTGTAAGCCCATGTGCATACAGCAGCAATTTGTACATATTTGCTGACGAATTATATCTGGGATCGGGCTGCCCTGTGACTCGGATACAAACATATACCTATGATTTTATATACCCTGTGCACGACTGTGGGATCAGGACAAAGGTAAGAATAATGATTATCTGTTAAAAAAAACAAAACCAAAAAACAAACCTAGAAATTTTTTCACAATTTTATGCCTGGTGCTAAAATTATTGTCCTGGTTTTCTCTGTTGTTTAAGAACAAAGTTTGCTTCTGGTTACAGTCATTTATGGATAGACGACGATACAGTTCCGTACTTGGTCACTGAATATTGAGTCCTCTTTGTGCATAAGACTTAAAGCACAGATTTCCAGACTCGTTAGTGAACTGATTTTAAGTTGTCTTTAGGCTTCTGTCGTATTTCACTAAAGCTCAGGAGATAGTTTTAAATTCCATTCAATGTTCCTAATGTGAGAGGTCACCAATTCTGGGAAGGTATTTTATATTCAACAATAGATCATTTGAATTTACCCCTGCTCTTTCAGGATGTATGCCTCTATGTGGACTAGATTTTTACTGGAATAAAATCTGTCAGTTATTTTGCCAGGCACGAATCTTAAAACTGTGCTGTTATCTTGGGGTGTTATCTTTTCATAGATTCCCAAATTTAAACAATTTATATTCATACTATAAAAGTATCTGGGGTCAATGCCTATTTAAAACTGTCACCTATGAATTAGATGTTGTCTTTATTTTAGAAATGAGGGAGCTAGAACTTCAGAAGGTGCTTTAATAATTTGCCCAGGGATGCACAGCCAGTTGGTGGTAGTTCAGATGCCCAAACAGGAGGATTCCCCTCCGAAGCTTATGTTTTAAACCACTCTGTTATTTGATCTCCAAATCGTCTTTCTCAGAAGAACTACTGAAAACCTTTTGTTAATGCATGATAAAGATAGCTCTGAGTAACAGTTTCAGTTTGCTCCTATGTACTGTTGAGATTTTTTTCCAGGTACTTTAAGTTCACTCTTACAGATAATACTCCTCTTCTGTCCCAGTGGGTTGTCAGACCTTTGTATGTACCTGAAAGCGACAGCAACCATTTCTGAGACCTTGAATGTTTTCTACTTCCTATTCAAATGTGTACATGCCCCCTTTGTTACTAGAAATATCTTCTACTTAACCTGTGTGCTCTCCTAGGTTGTTTCAGAGGATACTCTCCTTTTTCAAACAGAGGTGTACTTTAACCCTAGGAATATACATTGTGACCATCAGAAAATCCCTTTGGAATGTTCTGCCTCTAGGTGAGTCCAATAGACCATACTCCTTTTGAATATGTTAGTTTCACCTTTACTTACCATGTGCTTCTACAGAAGTGTAGATTTTAGAGACTATAACATGACTCGCTCATAAGCATAAGTCCAAATGAACACCAAATTAGCATTTAAAAATATTTTGAGTACTTTTTAATTTTAAAATATTCATCTTAGAATAAAAACATTATATAATCTTGTGTAATCTTGTGTAACTAGGTTATTTTACAGTAACTGAACTTTAAAGCAAATCCTCAGTCACCTTAGTAAGTGTGTTAGGAGAGTAAATGACTAAAAAGTTAAGAGAAAACCAATTCTTCATTTTAATACTAACTCATGGACATACATGAAAGGAAAGGCTTATCAGCCTATCATTAAATGCAGTTTGTTTGCAGTTCTGTGGAACCGAGAGGCTGAATCCCAAAAGGACTCCACGTGAACTTTGACACCAAGTGGAATAGTATATCCTGATACACTTTTACCATGCCACTGAAATACTTACCCTGAGTGTTATAAATCTGAGTGAAAAATCTTAGAAACCACCTGAAAACCACAAGGAAAGATTTTATCCTTGTTTAATATATGGAAATAGCTGACATGAAAAAAGAATTTTGAGCTCAGAGCAAATGTGCAATATCTTTTAACATCATCAGAGTCCCTTTTTGGGGGGTGAGGGAGAATTGGTATTTTTAATTGTTGTAAAATATACATAAGAGAAAATTTACCATTTTTAAGGGAATAATTCAGTGGCATCAAGTACAACCACATTGTTGAATACTCTTGATCTTCCCTTTATTTTAAGGAAAGACCAAGGCTGAGAGACTCAGTGATACTCTGGGGAGTAGCTGACCCCTAAATAGAAATTAACAGTTGATTCTGTGTACACACACACACACATACACAGAGATACACACAGAGACACATATATACACACACACACACTCACTCACTCACTCACACGTACACTTTCATTCCTATATACTGGCCAGTGCTTAGAGTAATGTAAAAAGTTCTAACCTAATCCCCTCGGGCTATTGCTTCTCCATAGGCTACCAGATTAAGAGTGATAACTAAGGCATTTCTATTTTGATCGTAATATTATTATATTGTTTGCGGCTATCTTTCTTAAAAATGAAGACTAGGCCAACAAAGGTATATGATTAGGTTTTTGGTGCATGAACTTTACTGCTGCACACACACACACACACACACACACACACACACACACACACACACACACACCTCTGTCACCAGTATACTGGGTCACATTAAGCTTTTGACAACTTTTACTGTTCTTAGGATCCATTTGTCTAAGTCTGTTTTACTGGGTGCTTTGGTACTCTACTAAGACAAGTACTACAAATCATCTATTATCCAGAGGGTGCAGGTACCCCTAAATAACCATATTGAAAATCATCATGATGTTAAACAGTGGTAAAAAAAGAAATAGCTTGGCCCCAAATTTAGAGTCAGAAATACCTGGTAACAAGTATGCCAACCCTGTCTGCTTTCTGTTTCTCTTCTCTTTAGGAAATCAGTGTGGTTTACACCAGTTTCTACAGATAATGAAATAAAATTGGATCCCAGTCCCTTTATTGCTGATCTTGAGACAACACCAGAAGAGTTAGGATTATTAAATTCTAGTCAAACTGACTCCATATTTACAGAGAAATTGAAACTTGGAAATTGGGCTCATGAATTTTGTTGGAAAAACAATGGTTTTATACAAAAATAATTGCTATAAACCTTTCTTTGGGTATCTGATCCCTAAAACCCCTAATTCAGTGAAGGTCCTGATTCAGTGAAGGTGAATTTTTAGATACTTTTATTTATTAGGGGTATGTCTTATTAATTTAATGTTGACTATCAGATAATCCTATTACCCATTAAATTTTATTTTTAGTTCTATAGAGTAGATTCAGAAATAGGTCTTCAATGACAACAGGATTTAATTGATATAAACCTCCAATAAATATTTTCTAAATACATTTTTTTGAAGAATAAAATAATAGAGATAGGTATGTAAATGTGCCAGAGACTAAAATTTAACATACTAACTCCCAGGAAAGCCAAAGTCCTTTTATATGAAGATAGTTTAACTTGTGTGGATTTTCCTAATTAATTAGTAAAGTTAAGTCTTAAAAGTAATTGAATATACTTCATATTTGATTATTAAAGAAGGAAATTAGGGGCTTCCCTGGTGGCTCAGTGGTTGAGAGTCTGCCTGCCGATGCAGGGGACACGGGTTCATGCCCCGGTCCAGGAAGATCCCACATGCCACGGAGCGGCTGGGCCTGTGAGTTACGGCCGCTGAGCCTGCGCGTCCGGAGCCTGTGCTCCGCAACGGGAGAGGCCACAGCAGTGAGAGGCCCACGTACCGCAAAAAAAAAAAAAAAAAAAAAAGAAAAAAAAAGAAATTAGATTTATAGTCTATAATCTAAATGACCACTTCCTTAACTGGAATTAGAGTCAGGTTTTCCTTTATCTCTGATATGATTCTTCCACACTTGAAATAATTGACTGAAGAGGTCGACATGGAATCATCCTGTCACTTTAGAGCAATCTACTGGATGGTCATTTATCACCAGCTATTATGCTATCCTCTTTTCCCTAAAGGGGGAGTCTACCCATGTAATACACCAAAGAGCACCCTGATTTGGGGGAGAGTTCTTATATCAATTATGCAAATTGAAGTGTGCCATTTGTTATTCAATAAAAACTCTTAAATTTTTTTATGTTTTAATTTTTATTTACTTTTTATTGGAGTAGAGTTGATTTACAATGTTTTGTTACTTTCTACTGTACAGCAAAGTGAATCAGTTATACATATACATATATCCACTCTTTTTTAGATTCTTTTCCCATATAGGTCATTACAGAGTATTGAGTAAAGTTACCTGTATGTCAATTGCTTATTGAATGTACATTTTGGATGCTATATCCTTTTGGAAATAAATTTTGCCAACATATATTTTTTTTAGTTTTTTAAAAATTTAAAGTGCTGCTATCTTATTGCCAATAAAATGCTTCTTAAAGTTGTCTACATGAATTTAAATTGTCATAATGGGCATCTATCTTTGGTATATACGTATATACAACGAAGAGGTAATCGTTTTGTAAGGCTTAATGTGTGTCAGGCAATGTTTCAAGCATGTTGCAACAATTTACTTAATCCTAATAACCCAAAGACTTATGTATTACTATTCCAATTTCACAGATAAGAAAACATAGATTAAATAATTTGCCTGCAACGCACAACTGGCCTCTATTGGTGATCTGTTCCTAATCTTAGAGAGAAAGCTTTCAGCTTTTCAACCGTTGTGTATGATGTTCACCGTGGGCTTGTCGCTTGTGTGAAGGTGCATTCCTTCTATACCTAATTGTTGAGTTTTTATCTTGAAAGATTGTTGAATTTTGTCAGATCTAACCACTTCTATCCAATATAATACTGAGAGTCCTAGCCAGAGCAATTAGGCAAGAAAAACAAAAGGCATCCATCAGAAAGGAAGAAGTAAAATTGTCTCTGTTTGCAGATGACATGATGTAACATATGTAAAACCCTAAAGATTCCATCAAAGAACTGTTAGAACTAATAACAAATTCAGTAGAGTTGCAGAATACAAAATCAACACACAAAAACTAGTTGTTTCTGTACACTAAAAATGAACTATCTGAAAAAGAAATTAAGAAAATTGCATTTACAATAGTAGCAAAATAAATAAAATACTTAGGAATAAATTTAACCAAGGAGGAAAAAGATCTGTATACTGAAAAGTATAGGACATTGATGAAAGAAATTGAAGAAGATACAAATAAATGAAACAATATCTCATGTTCATGTATTGGAATTGTCAAAATGTCCCTACCCCTAAAGTGATCTATAGATTCAATGCAGTCCCTATCAAAATTCCAATGGTATTTTTCACAGAAAGAAGAAAAAACAATCCTAAAAAAAATCCAAAATTTGTATGGAACAACAAAAGACTGCAGAGCCTAAGCTAATCTTGAGAAAGAAAAACAAAGCTGGAGGCATCACACGTCCTGATTTCAAATTTTACTACAAAGCTAAAGTAATCAACACATTATGGTACTAGAATAAAAATGGATACAAAGAACAATGGAACAGAATAGAGAGTCAGGTATAAACCCACATATATACCTTTAACTAATATTCAATAAAGATGCCAAGGGGCTTCCCTGGTGGCTCAGTGGTTGAGAATCTGCCTGCTAATGCAGGGGACACGGGTTCGAGCCCTGATCTGGGAGGATCCCACGTGCCACAGAGCAACTAGGCCCGTGAGCCACAACTACTGAGCCGTGCGTCTGGAGCCTGTGCTCCGCAACAAGAGAGGCCGCGATAGTCAGAGGCCCGCACACCGTGATGAAGAGTGGCCCCCACTTGCCACAACTAGAGAAAGCCCTCGCACAGAAACGAAGACCCAACACAGCAAAAAATAAATAAATAAATTACTAAAAAAAAATAAAAATAAAAAAATAAAGATGCCAAAAATATACAATGGGGAAAGAATTGCCTCTTCAGTAAATGATGTTGGGAAAACTGGATTCCCACATACAAAAAAAAAAAAAGAAAGAAATTGGATTCTTACCTTACACTATATACAAAAATCAACTCCAAATGGATTAAAGACTTAAACAGAAGATCTGAAACTTTAAAACTCTAGAAGAAAACTGGCAGAAAGCTCCATGACATTGGTTTTGGCAATGATTTTTTGCTTATAGCACTGTATGTACAAGCAACAAAAGTAAAAGTAAACAAGTGAGACTACATCAAACTAAAAAGCTTCTGCACAGTAAAGGAAACCACAAAATGAAAAGGCAAACTACAGAATGCGAGACTGTATTTGCAAAAACCATACATCTGATAAGGGATTAACATCCAAAAGATCTAAGGAACTCCTGCAACTCAATGGCAAAAAAAACCCAAATAACCAGATATAAAAATAGGCAAAGAATCTGAACAGACTTTTCTCAAAAGAAGACATACAAATGGCCAACAGGTTCATGAAAAGGTGTTCAACATCACTAATCAGGGAAATGCAAATCAAAATCATAATGAGATATCACCTTACACCTGTTAGAATGGCTATCCTCAAGAAGACAAGTGTTGAGCGGGCTGTGGAGAAAAGGGAACCCTAGTACAATATCGGAAGGAATGTAAATTGCTTCAGCCACTATGGAAAACAGTATGAATGTTCCTCAAATAATTAAAAATAGAATTACCATATGAGCCAACAATCCCACTTCCAGATATATATCCAAAGGAAGTGAAAACAGGATATCAAAGACATATCTGCACTTCCAAGTTTATTGCAGCATTATTCACAAGAGTCAAGATATGGAAACAACCTAACTGTCCATCAGTGGATGAATGGATAAAGATGTGATATATCTATATATCTACATCTTTAGAAAGTGGAATATTATTCAGCCATAAAAAGAAGGAAATCCTGCCATTTGTGACAACATGGATGAACCTGAAGCATAATATGCTAAGTGAAAAAAGCCAGACAGAGTCAGAAAAGTGCTGCATGATCTCACTTACATGTGGACTCTAAAACAGTGGAACTCATGGAAGCAGAGTAGAAGGGTGGTGGTCAGGGTTGGGGGGGGGAGCGGAAGAAATGGAGAGATGTTGGTCAAAGTATGATTTTCAGTTATAAGATAAGTAAAGCCTGGAGACCTAATGTACAGCATGGTGACTATAATAAATAATAATGTACACTTGAAATTTGCTAAGAGAGTAGATCTTAGATATTCTCAACACATACACACACAAAATGTTAACTATGTGAGATGATAGATATAATTAGCTTGATAATGGTGATCATTTCCCAATGGATAAGTATATCAAAACATCACATTGTACATCTTAAATATATATAATTTGTATTTGTCAATTATACCTCTAGAAAAGCTGGAAAAAAATAAAGACAAAACTGGGTGATCTGGATCCAGATCTGTCTGCCATTAACCACTACACTCTACTGCCTCCATCGCTTTAAGTTGCTGAACTTTAGTTGCTAGAAAACAATTGCCATTAAAGCAGTTCCACAGCCCTCAATAAAACTTAAGAAGTTTAGCTATGGACAGAGAGTGCTTTTTTCTGAATCTGGAACTAAAATTACTTTATGCCAACAGATTTGGGAGGACATAGAGTAGGATGAGTGATTGCTCAAGGCAAAGGAAATTATTGGGCGTGAGGTAACAAGTGTCTTCAATATTCTTGTGCTAAAATATGAAGAGTGTGCAGGGTGGCCCTGAGCCCTCTCATCCTGCCACTCCATTATATAGGCAATGTCCGGTAGGCTTAGAAAGGGGAAGCAGTTTGTCTTAAACTCATATGAACATTTAATAATAGAAGCTAGAACAACTCCAGTCCCATTTTTCATTTCACAAACTCTCCCATCTTCCTTAAATATCATGAATTCAGTTATTTCTCTTTTCTCTGTATTATTTGTATTTATTACTTTAAAACATTTGGAAGCACTTATTTTGATGGAGAAAAATGTCAGTTTCATGGGGGTTCAATCAGAGTTCAGTTTAGTTTCCCTCTCTTCCTCAGAGAGTACAACAGGGAATATAATTTATTTAAGAGGAAAACACATCAGTGGTTAAACATATAAATTAATTACTCTTAAATTTTGTTAACTTTTAATTATACAACTTCTAACTTTACCTTCACAAAAACGAAAAGTACCCGTTAATTGTGACTGGGCTTTGTACATTATCTTTTAACAAATTTAGTAATCATTTACCAAAAGAAGAAAGAGAATGTCCATGTCCACAAAAACTTGTATCATTACGGGGAACCTCTTAAGGCCACCAGAAGGAACATATAGTTGTTATCTCAGTGAAATGAGAAGCTGTTGCAGGC